GGTAGGCTAATAAAGCCTAGTTATGGCAAAGAATGTCAATTACGAAAAGAATATCGTGAATTGTTGTCCTGGTATGAAATATGGCAACCTGAAGAAGTGGACAACGAAGAAAATATTGAAGAGTCAATATAGACTTAGTTCAATATCAATATATATATACAAGAAATATACTCCCCATGTTGATAAGGTGTCATCAACAATTTGGCCGGGGGAAGAGATAATATATATTACAATACAATACATATTACATGCCATGATCTTTGATCTGATGTTTGCAACATCAATCATTCGGGCGTGGAAGACCATACCAAAGAAAGAATATCCAGAAGGATAAGACCGTGCGCGTTGGAGGACAGCGCAAAAGGAATATACAGTCACTCTACTGTAGCCAGGACAATTATTCTCTGTCCAGCTGTCCAGGCAACAGTACGAAGAGATAATTGAAGACTTCGCCTCGAAGGCTTCTTCTGACGATAAGGCTCGCTCCTTCGGAAGATAAGAATGAAGGACACTTCCTTCATGCTATAAAGGAGGACGCCGGGCGCATTCATTCATCATCGAATGCTCAAGCAGAAGACAACCACCGAAGCCTCAGACACCCACTCTCATCCACCACCCACTCCACCAACTCTCCATCCACACACATACACCATGAACACATGATCTCAGAAGCACTCTGAGGATCATCCACCATTAGTAGTAATCACTCCACCTACCGTTGTATCACTCCACCTTTGTAAATTAGAGAATAAGAAGGTCCCGTGATCTTCCTACGCTTGTAAGGTAATCCCTCAGGTTTGTGCTAAGTGCTTGGGGTTTCCCGAAAGGGAAAGCCGTATGTAAGCTTGCTCTGTGGAAATGAATTAAGCTTTCCTGTTTGAATCCCTGCCTTCCTTTAAGCTCGTTCATATGGGGCGATGTCTCTATGCTAGGGACCCTAGAGGAGAAACCTCTGCGTGTGTTGTTCTCGTGTTAGCCCTGGTAGCGGCATTTGTAGAGAACCCTGTGTGCGCAGAGAAGTGTTCCCCTTGGGTGGAACTGCCTGGGGAGACGATAGGGTCTGAGTCCTGTGTGTTCGTGGCTGGGGATAGCAAGGGAGTAGACCGGGTTAGCCTGGTTCTGAAGCAAGTTAGTGATGCATACGGTGAGTACCGAGTAGGACTGTCACAAGCATAGTACGCACGACCGGCTGAATTTTTGGTCTCGCCAGCCTGCAGAAGATCCTTAGAAATAATCCGCATAAGCATATTCACTAAGCACAAGATTAGCTAATCGCGAAAGCGACATATCAATATTTATATTCACTAATTGAGCGCTTGCTCATCCAGCGTGCATAAAATATTTGAGATTGAAAGCGACACTTGCCTTGAATAGTAAAGTGGTTGAGCCACTCCTGGTGAGTGCTCGGGCACTGTTCATATCCCGAATTTGAATAGTAGCCGCGAATTTGAATAGTAAATCTGAATTTGAATAGTGCTGTGAATAGTAACTTGAGAATTTTAAATTCGAATTTTGAGTTCCGAGTTCGCTTGTCGTTTGAAGGTACCCCTTTTCCTATTGGTATCAAAGCCTGGTTGTTATATTTTGAATTAAAGGGATTTAATTATTTTACCAAGTTCAAACAAGTCATCTCAGTCTAATACTTTGCTTATAATGGACAATTTAGACATTCAGATTCAATATTATGAGCAAAAGCTTAGCAAAATTCATGATGAATATAAAACCTCTATGACATGCAAATGGTCTGCCATAAGAGAAAAAGAACTATTCTTTAGACGAGAAATATGTAGACTTGATAATATCAAGAAAGACATAGAACTAAAGAATAAATATTTTAAAACACCTATTGTGATAAAGAAACAGAAAGATGAGTTAAAAACTAAAGACAAAGAGACTCATAAAGTTAAAGAAGTTGTGCAGACAAATAATATTGAATATATTATCAGTGAAGATGAGCAATGGGAGATTAATAATAAGTTTTTATTAGAAAGTTATGAAGAAGAAGAAAATAATGCAGACAGTTACCAAGATTTTATAGACTCTTTAGATGATGAAGAGTTACTCAATCTTGATAATGCAATGGAAGGGTTAGATATAATATCTGAAAATATTGATAGCTCAATAGAAACAAAAATAGAATTAATGAATCAAGAAGACTGTGAGCATGATTGGATAAAAGGAAGAGGTGATTATAATATAAAATGTACTTTTTGTATATTTTACCCTAGTCAAGAAAACAGACTTACATGTAGTAAATGTTTAAAGCAAGCATGTGCTTCATGTCTAAGAATTAATAACCAAAAATGGAGGCAAGAAGTAGAGCTAGAACCAGAAGATAAACTACTAATAAGTAGAGTCAGAAATTTGGAGAATAGAATAAATAGCTTAGAAGCTGAATTAGAGGAGCTAAGGAGTAAAATAGAGCTCAATGAAGTAAATAAGATCGAAGAAAATGAAAGAGGCATGACCGAGTTAAAGGATCAAGCCATATCAAATAGAAAAAATGATAAAGCTATACAATTAAAAGATGCCATAATAAACTTTGGTAGCAAATATATAGTTAGATTACCATTTAAAGAGGTCATAGGAATAAGAGTACCTGTAAAAGTAAAATTAACGCCTAATATCTCCTATAAAATATTAGCGTTAGTAGACACAGGTTGTACAAAAAATATTATACATGATAAATATTTTGTAAAATGTCCAGAGATAGTTCATACAATAGATCAAGATAAAGCAGAAATATCTACTGATATGTCAGGAATAAAAAAGGTTCATAATCAACTAGCTTATGATGTTGAGGTACAAATAAATAACACAAAATATATAATGGATGAAATTACAATAAGAGATTTGTCTATGATACATGATGATATGATATTAGGATTAAGATTTTTACAATTCTCTTTACAAACAACAATCATACATGAGCAAGGAATAACATTTATTCCTTATCAAGACAACATTCCATATATAACAGAAGTAAGAAAGTCTAATCCAGGAAAGACCAACCTAGAACTCCAAGGATCTGATTAAAATGTTCCTGATGATTATATAGATGAAGAATTAGGTGAAAATATTGAAGAATTTCATATAGCAAATTCATGCATAGAATGTATCAGTCTACAATCATTAGCACCTAATTGGTATAGAGATATAAAATCTAAAAAGGATATAGATAAAATTATAACAAGATTAGAAGATATTCAGATAATAGGAGAAATACCAATGAAGCATTGGGACAAGAATGGTATATTATGTAAAATTAACATAATAAATCCTGACTATATAATTAAGACAAGTCCTATAGAAGCAACACCTAAAGATATAGAAGAATTTAAAATGCATATTGAAGAATTACTAAAATTAGGAGCTATAAGAGATAGCCGAAGTCCTCATGGATCAGCTTCATTTATAGTTAGAAATCATGCTGAAATAGCTAGAGGAAAGTCAAGAATGGTTATTAATTATAAAAGGCTAAATGATAATACTATAGATGATGCATATAATATCCCAAATAAGCAAGAATGGATAAATAGAATACAGGGAAGCAAATATTTTTCAAAATTTGATCTAAAAGCTGGGTTTTGGCAAGTAAAAATGGCAGAAGAATCAATAGAATGGACTGCTTTCACATGTCCTCAAGGTCATTCTTTAATCCTAAGGGCATTATAACAAGATTAGAAGATATTCAGATAATAGGAGAAATACCAATGAAGCATTGGGACAAGAATGGTATATTATGTAAAATTAACATAATAAATCCTGACTATATAATTAAGACAAGTCCTATAGAAGCAACACCTAAAGATATAGAAGAATTTAAAATGCATATTGAAGAATTACTAAAATTAGGAGCTATAAGAGATAGCCGAAGTCCTCATAGATCAGCTTCATTTATAGTTAGAAATCATGCTGAAATAGCTAGAGGAAGACCATTCACATGTCTTCAAAATGACCTTGAGGACATGTGAAAGCAGTCCATTCTATTGATTCTTCTGTCATTTTTACTTGCCAAAACCCAGCTTTTAGATCAAATTTTGAAAAATATTTGCTTCCCTGTATTCTATTTATCCATTCTTGCTTATTTGGGATATTATATGCATCATCTATAGTATTATCATTTAGCCTTTTATAATTAATAACCATTCTTGACTTTCCTCTAGCTATTTCAGCATGATTTCTAACTATAAATGAAGCTGATCTATGAGGACTTCGGCTATCTCTTATAGCTTCTAATTTTAGTAATTCTTCAATATGCATTTTAAATTCTTCTATATCTTTAGGTGTTGCTTCTATAGGACTTGTCTTAATTATATAGTCAGGATTTATTATGTTAATTTTACATAATATACCATTCTTGTCCCAATGCTTCATTGGTATTTCTCCTATTATCTGAATATCTTCTAATCTTGTTATAATTTTATATATATCCTTTTTAGATTTTATATCTCTATACCAATTAGGTGCTAATGATTGTAGACTGATACATTCTATGCATGAATTTGCTATATGAAATTCTTCAGTATTTTCACCTAATTCTTCATCTATATAATCATCAGGAACATTTTCATCAGATCCTTGGAGTTCTAGGTTGGTCTTTCCTGGATTAGACTTTCTTACTTCTGTTATATATGGAATGTTGTCTTGATAAGGAATAAATGTTATTCCTTGCTCATGTATGATTGTTGTTTGTAAAGAGAATTGTAAAAATCTTAATCCTAATATCATATCATCATGTATCATAGACAAATCTCTTATTGTAATTTCATCCATTATATATTTTGTGTTATTTATTTGTACCTCAACATCATAAGCTAGTTGATTATGAACCTTTTTATTCCTCGATATATCAAGAGATATTTCGCTTTATCTTGATCTATTGTATGAACTATCTCTGGACATTTTACAAAATATTTATCATGTATAATATTTTTTGTACAACCTGTGTCTACTAACGCTAATATTTTATAGGAGATATTAGGCGTTAATTTTACTTTTTACAGTACTCTTATTCCTATGACCTCTTTAAATGGTAATCTAACTATATATTTGCTACCAAAGTTTATTATGGCATCTTTTAATTGTATAGCTTTATCATTTTTTCTATTTGATATGGCTTGATCCTTTAACTCGGTCATGCCTCTTTCATTTTCTTCGATCTTATTTACTTCATTGAGCTCTATTTTACTCCTTAGCTCCTCTAATTCAGCTTCTAAGCTATTTATTCTATTCTCCAAATTTCCGACTCTACTTATTAGTAGTTTATCTTCCGGTTCTAGCTCTACTTCTTGCCTCCATTTTTGGTTATTAATTTTAGACATGAAGCACATGCTTGCTTTTAAACATTTACTACATGTAAGTCTGTTTTTCTTGATTAGGGTAAAATGTACAAAAGTACATTTTATATTATAATCACCTCTTCCTTTTATCCAATCATGCTCACAGTCTTCTTGATTCATTAATTCTATTTTTGTTTCTATTGAGCTATCAATATTTTCAGATATTATATCTAACCCTTCCATTGCATTATCAAGATTGAGTAACTCTTCATCATCTAAAGAGTCTATAAAATCTTGGTAACTCTCTGCATTATTTTCTTCTTCTTCATAACTTTCTAATAAAAACTTATTATTAATCTCCCATTGCTCATCTTCACTGATAATATATTCAATATTATTTGTCTGCACAACTTCTTTAACTTTATGAGTCTCTTTGTCTTTAGTTTTTAACTCATCTTTCTGTTTCTTTATCACAATAGGTGTTTTAAAATATTTATTCTTTAGTTCTATGTCTTTCTTGATATTATCAAGTCTACATATTTCTCGTCTAAAGAATAGTTCTTTTTCTCTTATGGCAGACCATTTGCATGTCATAGAGGTTTTATATTCATCATGAATTTTGCTAAGCTTTTGCTCATAATATTGAATCTGAATGTCTAAATTGTCCATTATAAGCAAAGTATTAGACTGAGATGACTTGTTTGAACTTGGTAAAATAATTAAATCCCTTTAATTCAAAATATAATAACCAGGCTCCGATACCAATAGGAAAAGGGGTACCTTATATATATATATATATATATATATATATATATATATATATATATATATATATATATATATAGAGAGAGAGAGAGAGAGAGAGAGAGAGAGAGAGAGAGAGTATATTCAGTAGCCAACTACAAAATAAGTTATTCTGTAGCCACCTCCATTTATGATAATTTTATATACTAATTTACGATAATTATATATATATAGTTCATGCTGACATTTGTTTCTATGAATAAAAGATATCTGGATTCTTTCCCGTTTTTCAACCTCAGATCTCCTGGTGGAGATGTTGATCCTTGTTGGTTTTCCATACTTGCAAATAAGCTACCATTTCAGATCACATAGCACAGCAACAGGTGAGGTGAGGCCCGAGGGTGCCTTTTGCATGAGTGGAGCCTGGCCCAAGACTCAGCCCAGCCATCCAAACACTCGCAAGCTGCATCCACGGAGCCAGGTCGGTCTGGTTTCTCTCAACCAATCACACCCTAGTTTTTGACTCCCAAATGAAGTACGACATAAACATACTGCAAGTCTGTAACAAATATGCTTGGTAATGTTAATCCTCACCTTAGCTCTGATCCTGCAGCACGTCAAGGATGCATGCACTGTACAAGTCATGCATGTTTACTTCTGCCTTTTTCACTGTTAAGCTGACTCAGCTGTCCAGCCAATAACGGCCATCGATCCTTCCATCCATGGAGTAGATGGAACGTTCAAGGAAATGCAGAGGATGCCACAACAAATGATAAGGACAAGGACTTAGCTGCGCTGCTCTACAATCTGAAAGCGATGACTTGCATGTGTTGTCTGCCACAAGCCAATGCTAAAGCTGACAAAGGGGAAAGCGACCAAGGCGCCGAGGGAGACGGACTGACGGTACGAGCCCACGCTAAAGCTGAACGGGCCGGGCCATAAAGTCAGGCCGGGAAGATACGCACGGGTACAAACGGAATTGGACCGTATATAGTAGCGCCATAATTTAGCCGAATCCACGCAGGATATATATAGTATAGGTTTACATACATGTACTAGTTGGTAGCACAATTGTATAGTTTTATATATTTCTCAAGTAGAAGACATGTGCGTATTACATATGATGGAGTAGTACCATATTACAAATGATCGAAATACTAGACACCACTCGATCTACCTTAACATACACCACACTACCTTAAGTTGTAGGGCAATGCAAGCACAAATAAAGCGACCTAGCTAGCTACTTGTCCTTGTTCTTGCTCGATCGCGTATTGTACCTTTTCCTTGTTCTTCCCTTTTCCACAATAAACAATGCAGCACCATGTTCGGAGGCCAAATCTATTCTGTACTCCCACAGCTCTGGCTGACGTGAGAAACAGTTTATTGCCTTTGATTTTATTGTCTCGGCCACTTCCTGTAAGCTGACATCATTTATAAACTTCTCAACAAGGTCTCCGATACTCTCTACTGCATAAATGTACTTGTTGTTTGTAACCCTCCCACTTTTTTCAATAATGTACTTTAACAACCTCACCCAATAACCCTCAAGATGGGGCCGGAACCAAATGGCCACTCGCAGAGGTGGCTTCCAACCTCTGCCCACCTCATCAAATGAGCTACGCGTGCTGGACTCTACTGCTGGTATATAGCACTGAAAAGCCCAACAAATAACCTGCTCTGGGAGTATGTTTGATAACTCTGAGGAGACGTTGTTGTTAGCACAAAGTCCGTGCCTACTTCCTTTGCAACATGCTGGGTCTGGGCGAGCATCTTGTGTGGCCTCGATATGCCACTCTCGAACGCCCACGTACGGAGGCCCATAGAATTGGGCAGCGTCTTGTGAATTAGTTGATAGCAGGGTGAGTTCTCCCGTTGCACATTCAGCCGCAATTTTGAATCCAGATGTCAATAATTGCAAGCCTTGAATAGCAACCCCAACTATGTCCGTGCTTTCTGATAGTCGTAGAAACAACATCAGAGAGAAACATTTCTCTACCATTGTGCTATCCTCATAACTGTATAGCAGCCCTGCCTCTACTCCACGCTCATCAGAATATGTGCCCCATATGAGGAAACCTCGTCGCAGGTTATTTCCCTGCTCCAAATCATACCGGAGAGTTTTACCTTCAAGGAGATGCCTGACAATAGGGTTGCAAAAGGTGTTGTGATGAAGTGAACACCCAGACTCCACGTCCCTCACAAACTTGTCCGCAAAATCTGCATACAATTCAAATCTTCGAACATCATCCGTGCTCAAGCCAGCAAAAGAGGATGTGGTGAGCATGTTCTTGGCACTGATAACCCATAGCTTGCGCTTCTTCACCCCGTGCGCATCCTGCAGTTCCTGTCCTGCAGGCACCGCCTGCTGCTGCTTGTGCTTGTCGAGCAGTTCCGTTGCCTCGACGTAGGCAGACTTGATCTGCTTCCTGCGGCAAATCAATGAGAGGTACCTGATGCGCAGCTCCTGGGCCCTCTCAAGCGCAAACTCCAGCTGGCTGACGGCCATCTCCAGCCTCTCCATCAAGTGGCCTTGGGATGCCTTCTCCTCGCGCTTGCCCAACGCAAAGGAGACGCCTCTGCTCACGGTCTCCTGAACAAGGGCTGAACACAGCATCTCCGCCATGAAGTCGCTGTGGGAATTCCACCAACCTGCTGATGAATACATGCATCTTGGGTTAGTTAGTTTCGTGCTTTAGTTTTTGACTCCCACAAGCAAGTCTGTAACAAATGCTTGGGTTATAACTGATGCATGCGTGGAATACATATATGCTTAATGTTAATCCTTACCTTAGCTCTGGTCCTCTAGATCTTGCAGTTCGCACCAACAGATGGAATGAAGGGGATCGGAGTGGGATATATCAGGAACAGATCAAACAAGAGGTGCACACACTGCTGCTGTAGTGTTTCTTAGTATTACTGAGTCGGCGAGCTGTCACTGTCTATCGCTATGTGTCTTTATATAGAGAGGGAGGAGATCGAGATGAGAAGCAAAATTGTACAGTAGTGTGAACCTGCAGAAACATGTCCTGCTGGAAAAGTAAAGGGAGCGCTGTGGATGCTTCTTAGCAACTTCCTTCTCCTTGCAGTATACGATAATCATGCATTATTAGTTGTAAGTACGTGTGTGGTCCAAAACAATGGACCTTCTCTGCACCTTCAGAAAGCATGCAATGACTTGCAAGTCTTCTTTGGTCTAAGTAGTCGCCTCACCATGCATTATATTAGTTGTAAGTACGTGCGTGGTCCGCACATGCATGCAGGATTGCAATTTGGAATATTTTTGGTATGCAGTGTCCTGTGTCCACTTCAACGTCGTTCCACACCTTATCCAAAAAAAATGCCACATTGATCTATATATGATGGTTGCTCTGTGGTATGCTGGGAAAGATCATTATCAAATGTTAATGCATCAACTCAAAAAGATTTGAAAAACTTGTTTACAAGCAATGTCCATACACGTTTTCACTCAAGGTTTGTATGTACTAGCCCCACCGTTCAATACGTGTGTTCTGAATATATTTTCCATTTTCCCCTCACAACACGAAAACAAGTGACCGTTTGGCTTTTATATAAAGCTCTTTTTTCTAAGGTGACATTACTATTGAATACATCGTGGGTTAGTTAGTTTAGTACTACCAGTAAAATACTTTGTTGGCAGCATACGTAACGATGCCACAACAATTGAACAAGGACAAGGTCACGAGGACTTAGGCCATGTTTGGTTCTTTAGCCGCCTCCTAAAATTCATGAAACATCGAATATTTGGACACATGCATGGAGTATTAAATATAGATTAATTATGAAACTAATTGCACAACTTGCGACTAATTTGCAAGATGAATCTTTTAAGCCTAATTAGTCCATGATTTGACAACGCTGTGCTACAGTAACTTGTGCTAATGACAGATTAATTAGGCTTAAAAATTCATCTAGGAATTTAGCCTCCATCGTCTATGTAATTGATTTTGTAATTAATCTATATTTAATACTGCTTATTAGTATGTAAATATTCGACGTGACATGAATTTTAGGAGCGACTAAAGAACCAAACACCCCCTTAGCTGCGTTATTATTCGTGGGCATGACAAAGGAGCTTGAGCTAGCTTCACCTACTACTGCACCTGCTTCCCCGTGACGATAGTGACATCAACTGCAGCGCTGGCCCCACCTCACCTCATTCCCAGTGACCGGTAGTATACCACTAGCGTCGCCCATGGTTTCGGCAAAATAGCCGACACATGACACAAAACCAGTGGCCACACCCTCTGTTGCCACACAAATGGCCACAGAGATTGAAACCACACCTGGATCCGGCATGCTTCCCTATAACCATGCTGCCCCTCCAGTGAACGCACGCATCCACGCATGCAGGTGGCCCCGTCTTGCCTTGGCACTTTGGCATGAAGACCAGCCGCCGTGGATCGCCGACGGACATCCTGAACGGCCGGATCGAGAGGCCACGCGGATCCATCTCCATCGTTCATGTGATTTGTGTTTTCTCGAGCCGATGACATCGTAGCCCCACCCCGCGCCTCGTTCCAATGTTTTTGACGCGCGCCACCGAGTAGGCCTCGCCTCCCTCCGAATCTCATGCCGCCATTTGCACCATGCGCCCAACTCGCCGTTAGGGTGACTGTGGCCCCGCGACTAGTGGTTTTCGGAAGAACCAATTGTGCTCGCGGTTTGTCCATCGCGTCGGTGACACGTGAGCCCCCCCCTTACGCGACGTGTCACCGTGATTGGCTGTTTGTTCAAATATTAGCCATTGTTTGCTCATTTTGGATTTCATTCTCTAGATTGATAGATACAATGCGTTTGTCCTATTAATTATCGAGACTGCGAAGGTCCTAATAATCTGTCATTGATCTCGATAAATTATAAATCTCATGACCTGTAGGCTGTTGAACTAGGGCGTCCTCCTCAAGAGATGAACTCTATATCAAAACACATACGAGAAAGAGTGGAGTTCCGTTACGGTACCGGCAAAACCAATCATTGTAAGTTTTTTCTTCAACAACTATCATCGCAAAGCATGAAATTCTACTTTACGGTGTATTAACAATGATATTCTATATATTTAGAATAAACTAAAATCAATTATTGAAGAACATCCTGAGTTGACACAAAGAACAATCCAACAAGGTGATGCATTTGCTGCTGCTTGTGGAGAAAAAGAGCCAAAAGGACGTGTGCGTATTTTGGGTCTAGGACCAACTCCCCAAAAGTGTTGGTACCCCAGGGGTGAAATCTTACACACCAACAAGGATTCAAATGGAAGTTTTAGCCCATAGAAAAGCGCAAGAAGCTCTACGACAACACATAGTGGAGCTAGAAGAGAAACTGTTGGAGGAAATGTTAGCGCATGAAAGGTCAAATATGAAAAACATCTCACAGAACGGCTCTAATTCACGACATCACGTGGTAAATCATTTATACCTTCTCTAATTCATTGTGTATGTTTATCGCTTACATCATGTGATGCATGTGGCTTATATATGGTATATTGTGTTCATTTAGAAATTTGATATGTAGTGTACATAAATCTGATCTTTAGTGCATAGAAATCTGATCCATAATCTCTCCTGTATGTTTGTAGAGCCCAAGGTCTAAAAATGATGGTGTTTGGACAAATCTTGATGCTGAATTTCATGAAGATGATACGTATGCAGAAAATTCTAATGAGTGTGAATACACTGTGCGTAGGCATGCTACAGTCCCCCCAATCCAGAACCTCCTCGGTCAAAGCCCCATGAGTGCAGCTCCATTTGTGCAACCCCGTCCGTTCATCCCTACCAGTGGAGCCCCATTAGAACAACCTTCTCGTTGTCACCCAGCCTTGTTCATACAAGCACATTTAGCCCAAGAGCCCCCCTCACCCACCATGAGAGTAGCTCCATTTGTGCAGCCCTGTCCGAGCATCTCTACTAGTGCAGCCCCATCAAGACAAGCTTTTCGTTGTCGGTCCAGCCACTGTTCATGTCCAGCAGCCCGGTTTCGTCCTGTGCATCCATACAAGGAATGGTGATACTAATCGTTTCTCACATGATGAATATGTAAGTTCTCATTCATCCTACAAGTTTTTGCTTCTAATTTTTATTAATTGATACAATTCTCATACATCCATCATTTCGCTTCAGATTGGCAAAGAAGTTATACTATATCCAAACATGATGTCCGATCAAGTCGTGGCTAAGGGAATCGTTATTTCAACTAATCCTAGCTGCGTGCTAAGGTGATGTGCTCTTGGAAGACAATATTGTGAAGTTGTTGTTAAGGTTGTGATGAAAAGAGATGCAGTCTTGCCTCACCCTTATGTTGGTGTGGAAAAGATGGCGATGCAAAGCACCTGACAATTGCATGGCCATATATATTGGGTAATAAACAACACTGTTCTTGTTTCTTGTTTTCATATGTGATGAGTGACAAGATTTTCTAATTAGTGATGTTTCTAACAATTTGAAGCTTAACAAGACATCAAAATCATCCCATGATACAGGTATGCAATTTTGAATTTCCTTAATCTTCATTCACAACATCACATAGTTGATAGCTTCATGTGACTAGCATTTTGAAAATAGTGATATAAAACAGCCTTGTACACAATTTAATTAAAAGAGCTTGTCTTTGGAGCAATCTTGAGCAATCAGTACATAACTACACATGTACACAATTTAATTAAAAGAGCAATGCAAGATGCAACTGTTGACTTGCTTGCCCACCTGCCTGAATGCTTGAATGGCTGTGTGCAACAGCTATGCTGCCAACAGGTGGTACTCACAACATTCACTTTGCAATGATAGGACGACAGGATCAGCACACATCATAGAGAAAGCAAGCATGCAGATTGTGATGCATGAGAGCATTTGGGCATCTGTGATTCAAGGTGTTATGTTGCATCTATCTCTCGCCTAGTCTCGCTTTGCATGCCCCAGTTGGATCTTGAGCAATCATGTACATAATTTAATACAGCCTTGTAGGAATGATCGACTAACTGCTCTCATGATGCTTAGAACTTTGTAGAAGTTGGATCTTTAGTTTTCATTTTACATGTTTATTTCAGCTTACATTCCTAACATAACTGAGAAAATAAGCGGGGCAATTAGAAGTACTGCTCAGTTTACATGTTTATTTCGGCCTTCCTATACCTGCATGGATAGGCTAAGTTTTATTTGTTTGGTACCAAAGAGGTAGCGGTATTTATGGAAGAACTTGAATGTAGTTCGTTATACCTAATTATGTTCGATCAGGAGGAGTGCATAGCTGAGGTGCCTCCTGGTGCCAGATTTGTGGTAGTCATTTTCTTTTCTTTTTTTTTGAACTTACCAATGTCAAGTTTCTGGTTGTACCACTGATGGATGTAATCTTTTATTTTTAGGTGGAAGGTAATCGCTAGAGGTAGCCTGATGCATGCAGGAAGCAGTTGGATCGAAGTGCGCATGGCCAGTGCATTATTTTGGACATCCTAACTAGAGATGAATGCTTTTGTTAAGACTTACTAGTGATGAATCATTTTGTAATGAGTGCAAGCAAACCATATGAGATGTGAGCTGTGTAACCAGTGCAAACATCTTTGAGCTATGCATTATTCTAGCTTGATGGCCAAACTGCCTTGATGTAACTTGT